TGTGTTATTGCCGAATTTCTAATTCAAAGCTATATATAAGAATGCTTTAACTGGAATGCAGAAGTTAAAAATAAGACATTTTAAATAGTAATCTCCCTTCTCTCTCCAAGATAAATGTGCCCATTAACCCTGGGCGGTAACAGGAAGATTTCTTTCTCTTACATCTTATATGACAATTTTTTTTTCCAAGCCATTCAGGGGAAAACCAGCAGGGAAAAAATAATTTAGGAGGCTGGCTCCCGATCAGCTACTGTACTGAATTAAAGTGCAATCAGGTTCATAACTTTTAAGTGGAAATATTGAAAATGTGCACCAAAGCCTTTGGCATAAGCTTAGTGCTGTGTGACGTGGGGAGGAAGGTGAGGGGCATTGGGGGAACAGGACTCCAAGGCACCACAGACACTCACATGCACAGGAAGAGCAGGAAGAGAGCAATGTGAAAAGTTAAATAAAATGTTTCCAGAACATGTTCCAGACAGTAGAAACAATGTCATAAAATGGGACCATTCATTGCCAAAAAGACTATGCTGACCATTGACCACTGCAGGACTTCCAAGAAGAGAATGTCGCTTCAAGACCAGGAAAGTCTGCAGAGACTTCACGGAGAAGGCAGGTGCCCAGATCCATCTCAAAGGGCATGTGGACAACTGGGAGTGGTCAAAGGAAAAAAGAAGTGAGAAAGCCTTCATGGAGGTGAGACGTGCCACAACATGGAAGCACCTCAAAGACGTTATGCTCTGGGAAAGAGCCAGTCACAGGAGAATATTCTATGTGATCCCACCTACATAAGGTACTTCAGGCAATCCAGTGTATGCAGAAGGTGCTGGGGAGGCCATGACAGGGAGTTTAAGGCATATGGAGGGTTTTGTTTCTTTTTTAAGACGAGGTGTCATTCTGTTGTCCAGGCTGGAGCGCAGTGGCTTGATCACAGCTCACTGCAGCCTCCAACTCCAGGCTTCCTCCAGCCTTGGCCTCTAGAGTAGCTGGGACTATGGGCACATGCCACCACACCCAGCTAATTTTTCTGTTCTTTTGTAAAGGTGGGGTCTCTCTCTTGCTTACACTGATCCTTGAACACTAAAAGTGAACTATAAATGTTAAAACTTCTTGTCAGTGTCACCAATTAGAAAACTACCTCTCTGCAACAATCTGCTCTTCACAGAAATATTTTTACAGCTGGGTACGGTGGCTGACACCTGTAATCCCAGCACTCTGGGAGGCTAAGGTGGATGGATCCCTTGAGCTCAGGAGTTTGAGACCCAGAGAAAAGAGAAGAAATATTTTTACTCCTCAGATAAATATGAGCATTGGAAGAATCACACTGGCCCAGATCCCTGGGCAGACAGGCCTACATTTTTGTTCACGAGCTCTTCTCGGATTCTGTTTTATTTTCTTATTTTGCTTCATTTTTAATTTAGGAAATGACAGCTAATATATTGGATCACATTCACTGCTGGGTCTTGCTGGACTTCAGAAGTCTTTAATGACAAACTGCTAAAAAGACAAAAGGAAGAAAAGCAAAGCATGGTGTCAAAGAAATGGGGGTCCCATTGGTTCACTCACACATCTTGCCTGTCAAATGTAGCCCTGACAGACAGTGTCGCTGCTGTGAGATACAGTCTCCCCTTCACCACAGTGACCTAGAAACGCCTGTGAGGCAAAAGACTAGAAACTGCTTCCTTCTGGAATGCTGCTCCTGAAGACAACAGGTCAAAGCAAACCTCTCCTAACAGGAGCAGCGATGTCCGCAGAATTCTCGGGACAAGACAATTCTACTCCTCTAACAGTGACACCAGAAACTGAGACATAATTACACTGCAGCCACCAGCACGTCAGGGTGGAAGCCACCAGGAAGCCTGAAGTGCTCCCAGCAACACTGACCATCAAGCCCAAACCCTCCCTTGCTAACTTCCTCCACAACAGAAAAAAGGAAAGAAACCCAACTTTTTTCACTAAAACTCAATGTAACAACCAGACAAAACAGAAGATAGTATCAAAATTTCAAAGCTTCTGGGCGATGCCTATGGCTCAGTGAGTAGGGCACTGGCCCCATATACCGAGGGTTGCGGGTTCAAACCCAGCCTCTGTCAAACTGCAACAACAACAAAAAAAGCTGGGTGTTGTGGCAGGCGCCTGTGGTCCCAGC